ATAGTATGCTAGAATTTAATTATTCAATTGTTCGATATGAGGCAAAATACGATCCTATGCAATCGTAAATAATTGTTCGTATATTACAAAGAAAATAAAATTTTTCTCTTTTGCTATTTTTTTATAAAGTGACTCAGAATATGAAAAGTTGATTTTACATAAGTTGAAAATATAAAATAAATTTTTTTCATTTAAGACTTTAAATTCGAATAAATCAAATTCGAAAAATTTTCAAGTACTTACTAATTTATTCGAAAACGAAATTTCAAATGAAAAATTTTTATTCTATATTTTTAACTTATTTTTTTACATAAAATTAATAGTTTCATATATATTTCTGATTCACTTTGTATATCATTCTTTCTATATTTGATAATATAATCTATATAAAAATTCTTCGATAATTTGCAAAACAGTAATTAATATATTAAATGATATATTTCAATTTGTATAGTTTAGCATCAAATGATATGTCGATAGTTATTAACAAATTAACAAATTAACAATATTTTAACAAAATCATTAATGAAGAATCGAAGTTCGGTTAAAAAAACCATTCAATAATCATTCATAAAGTATAAATCATTAAAAAAGGCCTGTAAAAACTCATGTACCCCATCAATGACTAGCTTAAGGTATTATGCATATATATGTATATGTGTATATATATATATATAATCTTGCTCTTTTTAACATAATGTTTTAATGGCATTGCATAGTTCCTTAAAATTTTTGCAAAATGAGCTGCTTATATTTATTTCAAAATATCTTTATTTTGCATTGCTGACTGACAATTTGTTTGAAATATTTATATAAATGATTTTATCTCTTAAAATGATTTTTACCAAAAATTTAAAAACAATTTATTTACCAATTGAAATTGATCTAAAAATTATATATTTTTTTTATTTAAAAGATATGAAAATTTCATTAAAAGATTTTAATACAGTCAGCAATGATATTTAAAATATAAAAAATTATGTTATTTTTAATTATTTAAATATTTTCAATCGATAACAAAATATGTAAGAAACATGCAAAAATTTAATTAGTTTCAAAACTGCAATTTGATTAACTTTTTCTTATCTTATTATCTTTGACCCTGTACTTGTTAATAGTTTTCGTTTTACTGCGTACTTTCTGTCAATCATTGCTAGCGTTAGTAAGGTACTACAGGAACAATTTGTAAATTATATACAGATAAACAAATTGCGCATACGAATGTAATTTAACAAAAAAGTTGATATAGTTTTTGTACATAATATACGAGTTTAACAAACTAATGATTCAAAAAAATATCAATTTTTATCTCTTTCAATTTAATTTTAAAAGAGATAGAAATTAGCAACTTTTTAATATTTTAACATTTTATAAGTAATTTATAATTGCAAATACTTTCTCAATTGATTATGAATATTTGTTTATTGGAACAATAAAAATATTTGTTCCCATAAATGTATAATTTTCAAATTTCATTGAGATTAAAAAAGAAAAAATTGATCGATATACATGTTATTACTATGCACGATAGAGCGAAAGAATGCATTTACATATATCGATAATTTACGTTATAAAATAATTCGTAACGAAAACATTTTTGAAATTTTTCAAATCGTTGTTTTGAACGTATTTCGAAATGTTAATATTACTATACAGAGTCGATTAAAAGCTTCACAATGATTAAATAACAATCTTTCTACAGTGAAAATTATTATACTACTATAGATAGCGAAAAATTTGATTGTTCAGACAACTATGAGTTGTTTGTCGATAAATGTATGCCACATAATTTATTTATAATTCTTACTCTAAATTCTTACTCTATGGCGTTGCTAGTGATCTTCAAATCACATTGTATGATAATATATATGATACAAAAAAAAAATTCATTTTATACATACTTTCACAAATGAGGGTGTTTCATATTCGATGTATCCTTATACCGAATATATCGTTTTACATACGACATTCTTCAATTTCTATTTTTAATTTTTCTTTTTTTTTTTTTTTTTTTTTTTTT